TTCAAGCCTGGGGCCCAGGCCTTCTGGGCGTCCCGGACTTTATCCGTGGCTTCGGTCCGTTCCTCATCTCGATACCTTTCGACTTCAAAGTCCATTTCCAGGTTCCAATCATTTTGTCTGGCGAAATGCAGTAAATGCGACCACGCATCAGTAACCCACAATGCTGCCGCGGTCCAATGATAGAGTCTCAACTCGTACAACACATCGGTCATCGGATCACTCACATACTGAGTCGGTGATCCTTCAATGGACCTTGTCGTCGTGGCATAGTAGACAATCTCGGCAGTGATCGAAATACCATATCCAAAGGTCTCCTCCGCAATAGAGAATGTAGTGTGAGTGTTGGGGTTATCAGAACATGGGAATGAATGCGCTCCAACCGCATGCGTTTTCACACTCCCCCTGCATTTGGGATTTGATGGGAGCAATTGGTGGCCCTCCAGAATCGAATGCAGGGCAGTCGCAGAAGTGCCGTGTGACTGTTTTGTCCACCCTGCGGATGAGTCTGAGACTTCCGCAACCTTTTCTTTCGCCACGAAGAAAGGCAGCGTTAATTCAACGAAATGGGCCCTGCCAACCTTATGGGATCTCGTTCTCAACTTAGCCCAATTCAAGCGGTCAGCCACAGTGGCTGTGGGGCTTGCTATCGACCTATCGGCCTTGATTCTGAAGAAACGAGCCCAATTCGGCACTATATAGTTCCGCGTCGCAGGCGGGACTTTTGTCGTCTTTCGGAGCAACTGGAAGGCAAGCCACGCTTCACTCTTACCATTTTTCAAAATCATTTTCGTCTGCTGGCTTCTAGCCGGTTCTTTTCCCTGAGCGACCTATGCAGCGCGACCTTCTTCTCCCGGATAGGCGCTCATAGGCATCATGCCCCGATGAAGGTCCCCGCTGGCAACCGTAAACGGACAGAGGAAGTCATTGTAAGTAACCTCTGTTGCCGACGAACTCTGGAAGGGCAGATTCGTTATCTGCTGATATACGTGACAATATGGCTTGGGTTCTCTGAAGACCTTTCGTCTTGAGAAGTGGTTCACACCGATCGGAAACCTGCAATCGCTTATTCTCTAAAAAAGGAAACCCAATCATTTAATCATAAAGACAATCGGAAATTTATTATCTACATATTACTATTCAATTATCTTGTTCGGAAAACCATTTATATGTAGGGGGCAACTTCAATTCTGACGTTGTTTTTGCAACCCCTCCCTATCGTATTTTATGTGGGCCACGAAACGCGTGAGGGACGTGCCAATGCAGGCCAGAAGCACCAGTCTGGTGGACATGCCCGAGGGGGGGTTCGCGGATCTTGCCACGAGGAGCACCCGCTGGGGCCTACTTGAGGCCCACGGAGCGCGCAATGACGGGGGGGATCATGATGGAATGAATGGATGCGGTGTTGCTGATGTTGTTGTTGGTGCCGATGGGGATGCTGGCGGTGATGCTTATGTTGGCGCTGGAGGCTATCGTTGCAGGAATGGGCCTTGCCAGGCGGACGGTGGCGAAGCCCGAATGTTAAAGACCGCCTCACAAAGCCAAGAAATGGGGATCCGAGCCCCCCTCTTCCACCTGCAAGATTTACACGAGATTGACAAACCGCGAGCACTACTCAGCCGAATAAGAACGGGCCCTCTCACCCGCTGCAGAAGCCACGCACTGCGGTAAGTAACAGCTCGCGGCAAGCAATCCAATGCAGTGCTCAAGCAAGTCAGCCGGGCGCGGCGAATGCAAAGCCATATGCGGGCCCAGGACAGCGGCACGGGCCCCTCGCAGGCCCTGGCCAGCGCCGCGCGCAATTTCGAGACGAACCCAGCGCCGACGGCTCAGAAGCAAGCGACGCGCACCGATCGGGAACAATGCAACATCACACCATCATCCAATCATTGCTGGAAGTTGTGCTACTGCCATGCAACTTGCACCCAAACTCCTGATGCCCAGTGCAGCGAGTCGGGGCGAGGAGACGCGAGCAACCCAGCCTGCGCGGGGCATCTGGCCCGCCTGCCCACGCGGAAGCTTTTTTTCTTGTGCACGTCAACCCGCGCGCTCGTCGGAAGACTTGCGCAGTGAAGTCCGGCTCACTACAAGACTATATGTTAAGGACGTTATACACCATGGAATGCGGATGCCTAAATCAAGGAAGCGAGTTCCCAGCGGAGGCTTACCTCCAGGATCGCTCAATCCTTCATCAAATCACAAATGGTGCCCGACCCCTTGCCCTCAGAAGCCGAAGCGCTGGGCCTCGCAGCCGAAGCGATGTCCACATGGGCGTATAGAGACATCATGATACCCAGGATCGCGCTCATTGCGAAAGCGTTGCCGCCCAAATCCATCAGCAAGGAATCGTTCGGCTTGTAACCTGGGCAGTTATCCAGGATCCTCATGTCGTAGCCCTGCAAGTTCAGAGTCTCCCACCCGAGGAGCAAACGATCATCCTGTTGTTGCTCTATCTCGTCGCCGTGAACTAAGTAAGGGTTAAAGAGCCACGTCGTGTTCTTGGGCACCAACGTATGCACCTCGTTGTCACGGCCGAATGCTAAGCGATCGATGGAAGGGCGCAGGTCCACAGACTTGAGAGCCCACCCCTTCTCCACGCCGCAACGAACAGCGAATCCTACGCATTCTTGCTCGCGCCTCGGCAGCGTGGTGCACCACAAAAAACTGCGAATGTGGGCGGGCGTTTCCACAAAAGACCTGTTCAGGCCCTTCTTTGACAAATGATCGCGGTGAAGCTTTGGCCAATCGACTCCTTCACCAATTGTTTGTGTTCTGTCTACCGCTTGGCGAGCTTGGCGTTCCTGCGCGATGCGATCGTCGTCGCGACGGAAAAAGAACTGTTGCAACGGCAGGGTCGGCATCTTCAGCTTCTCAACGAAAGCCAAGATCTTGCTGCGCAAATTGGCGCTCGAATCCTGCGAGAGGCCGAAAGCCGGAGCGTGCACCAACAGGAAAAAGACTCGAGTACGCCGCTGCGGTAGTCCGTAGTCGGTGCTCTCAATGAGGATGTGGTTCCCGTAGTAGTCGAGGTCTGCGAATGTGTTCCAGAGCTGCTCTGCAATCTCGGGCTTTGCTACGTTGGGCACGTTCTCGAGGATGACCACTTTGGGCCGATTGAGCCTGCAGTGGTCGACGACCCCTTTGAACGTGGGGCCCGAGGTCCCTGTGCTCGACGTGAGGATGTTCTTTTTATCAGCGGGCGCCACCTTCGAGAAACCATGCGGAGATATTTTGCTGACTCCCCCCCCCTCCCCCGCCGCCCCTCCGCCCGAGGGAGGGTGGCAGGGGGAAACATCATATTGGACCAGGGCCATGGCCATGGCCCATGGCTTTGGCCGCGGGCGCCTTGCGAGACAGCTGCGAAAAATCTTTGCCGCTGAACCCTGCGATGAAAATATCTCCGCCGGATGGCACCTCGCACTGGCCCTGGTGGATGCAGCACTTTGCGAGCCCGCGACCAAGACATTGGACGTCTGCAAACAAGCATGGCGAGGTGGCGCTGGGCCCTTTGCTCTTGGTCAACATGGGATGGGCGATCTTGGACAAGTGCTGCTGCTTTGCTGCATCGGACTCGCACGAGAAATCCACGACCGTGGCGTGCTTCCGATAACCCATGATGACATGGTGCGCGATCTCTGACATGCCGCTGCCGCTGCAGGCCGTCGACAGAGTGATCGGCCGACTGGTCGAATTCAAGAACTGCTCATTCATTGCTGGGTTGAATTGCTTCAAGACGTGAGCAAAGAATCTGCAAGCAAACGAAGCCTTGCGCCCTGCGGCTGAGGGCCGCTTCATCTGGCGCGACTGGCCAGCAGCGGCGGGCCTTTTCATCTGCGGCATCCCCCGAAGTCGAAGCACTGTCGAAAGCGTTCCTGACTGCAGGTCGCCAGAGAGGGCTCGGGCCGAATAGTCTGCGAGAGGCAGGCCCCCACGGCGGCAGCAGCAGCAATCCGCGAGGTAGCCGCGAGGTGGCATGCGAGAGGAGGATTAGAATGAGGAGGAGGATGGCAACGCACAGCGTGAATGAATGAATGAATGATTCATGAAAGGTGGGCGTGGGGCAGGAGCGAACGGTCCAACGCTGTCCCTAGGCGCGTGGCTGAATTGGGGATCTGCGGTGGCGATGTTACGATGTTGCTTGTTGCTGATATTTGTCTTGTTGTTGTAGCCGCCACTCCCGCCGGCGCGCCGCGGGCGGGTCGCGGGACGGCGCGGTCAAGAGGGTGCCCGAGGAGGAGAATTCCAGGAGGTCGCCCGCCCCCCCGCCAGGGAAAGAAGAAGAAGAAGGAGGTGGAGGAGGAGGGGGGGAAGGAGGAGGAGGAGGAGGAAGAAGAGGAGGAGGGGGAGGAGCAAGGCAACGAGGATTGATATGAATGCCAAGGCGTGCTGCAACCAGCACCTGGGCAACGCACCACGCGAGAAGTGTTCATGTTTTCAATCGCCCTGGCTCCAGTCCACGAGCCAGCTTCATCCTACCTAAAGGTGGCTGCAATCAAACGGGTAAACCACTGAGTTTCACATTGTTGCTCAAGTAGGGCCTGGGCCACCTGGTCAATGAGAAATCCCCGAACGAAAGATTATACTGCCCAGGGCCCGACGAGATCAGGCGGCCTTCAAACGCTCTTGGAGTCTTGGAGCCTCGTTGGCCCTACGTTTGTTCGATCGATGTTTGATTGCTCCCCAGGCCGTCGTTCGCGGTGGGGTCAAAACAAAAACTCGCTGTGCCTAAAGAACTTGCTCACAAGTTCAACGCGCCAAGATGCTGTGGCCGACAAGCCCCGGCCGCGCCCGCGCCCCCTGCCGCGGCCTTGGCCCGTGGGCCCGCGGCCGTTCTTGCGCGGGGGCTCGACGGCGTCGCCCTCGCCCTCCACGTCTCCAGGCTCAGCAGCAGCGGCGCCCCCAGGCGCAGCAGCAGCGGCACCGCCTCTGCCAGCAAGACCGTCGCCGGCGGCCGCAGGCGGCTTCTTCGCCGGCATCGGCGCCGACGTACCCAGCGCGAGCACCTCATTGATGTCCTTGACCATCCCCTGGCCGATGTACGCCTGCATGCCCTCGGTGCCCTTGTTGAGGTTCCAGGTGTTGCTGAGGTCCCTCCGGAGGGTCACGCCGCGGGACGCAAGGGACCTGATCTCTGGGTTGTGGAGGAACACGACGAGGCCCCACTTGATCGTCTGCGACCTGGCCTCAGTCAAAGTTGTGTCCGCTGTCTTGGTCAAGCCCTCAACGTCGTCGCAGCCTGCCTCCGCGTGCGAAGCCAACGCTGCCTTCAGCTGGCCGCGCAGCGTCTTGAGTGAGCCCATCTTCGCCATGTCGTAGAAATCGTGGAACTTCTTGTTGTCTGCCACGACGTCGGCACCTGCCAGCGCGTTGTTCACCTTACCCTGGAGGAGGACCAGCTTGTTTCTCAAGCTCTCCACGTGCCTCGTGGCGGGCTCGTCCAGCGTGGGCCAGATGAGTTTTACCACGTCCATGAGTTCGTCTGCCTTGTCGCCGCCAGCGAACCACGCCAACTTCGGTTTCACCACGTCCGTGTTCAGCATCGCCTTCACGCGAGAGACCATCTTCATGTCTGGCTTGAAGTCCGTAGGTAAGCCTTTGCAAAGCACGATTGCTCTTGGCGAGAACTTGAAGAAAGGAAATATAACATCGGCCAACGTTTTGAAGCATGCTGCGTCGTGGTCCTTCGTGTCCGAGTAGATCGCCAGCTGCTGGATGGCCAAGTCCTGCGTCTGGTACGCCTCGATGTTTTTGTCGATGAGCTTGGTGAGCTTCTTCGTGTCCTCCTGGTTGGCGCCCTTCAGAGATATGACGTTTGCCGCGGTGTCGGAGATCAGTACTTTGATATGCTCAACCTTCTGGTCGTAGGCTATCTTCCCGTGGCTGACGACGCCGAACTTCTGGCCGAAATCCACCAGTAGGGTCTTGATATTTTCAGGGGATCTACATTGAGCACCTTGTTGTGCACGCTGCTGAGGCGAGCCAGTACGCTCGACATGTGCTTCTGGTGCTCGTCGCCTCCGAGAGATTCATCGCCAGGTTTGTTCGCGAGCGTCCTGAGCAAGGTCCGGAGGCAGGCCATGGCGTCGCTGATGGTCTGCATCTTCTGCTTCGCGGTCGCCAGGGGGGTCGAGGCCGACCCGCAAAGGGCGACAAGGCTCGGGAACCTCTTCAGGAGCTCGTCCAGGTCGAACGTGCCCTTCAGCCGAGACGCTTCCACTGCGACGTTCACTAGCTCGAACTCCTTCTGGATATCCAGCATGCCGTGCGACTCGTCCACGGCGGACTGCAGCATCGACCCCAGGGAATCTATGCACGAGGTTGTCTCGACGCCAGCTTTCATCTCCATGGCTGCAAGCGCGCTTTCGAAGCAGGCCCGAACCTTCTCCACGTCCTCGGCAGCGGCGCAGACAGCGAACAGGTTGGCGATGGCGTCGCTCAAGCCCTGCTTGTCTGCTTGCAAATATACATTGTTACCGCACTTCTCGAACTCCTTGTTGAACGCGCGGGCGGCGTCCTCACCGAGCCAGGATATCGGGCCCATGCCCACTCAGACGCCCCTGCTTTCTAAGAGATCATGCGCGCCTTCTCTGAGAATCCCCTGCCTTCGAAGAAGCCCATGCCTTCAAACCAGCCCATGTGTTCCACTGACCCCCCCCCCCCTGGACCCCATCGGCGTTGGGCCCGCGTGGGCCCCATGCCCCCCCGAAACCAAACGAGTGCATCTGTCGAGCGGCATGGGTCCTGAATCCGGCGACCGCAGCTCGAAGTGGTAGCGGGGCATGCCTTCCAGAAAGCAGCGTCGCCGAGAATGGTCGCGAGCACGCCAGTGTAAGTAGCGTCGGCTCTCTTGTCTGAAAGCCACTGGAGGAAAAAAAAATAAAACAAAAAATAAAAACAAAAGAAGCAACAAAAAAAAAAAAAAGAAAAAAAAAAAAAAAAAAAAACAAAAAAAATCAAAAAAAAAACAAAAAAAAAATAAAAAAAAAACCAATAAAAAAAAAAAAAAAAAAAAAAAAAAAAAAAAAAAAAAAAAAAAAAAAAAAATAAAAAAATAAATAATAAAAAAAAAAAAAAAAAAAAAAAAAAAAAAAAAAAAAAAAAAAAAGAAAAAAAATAAAAAAAAAAAAAAAAAAAAAAAAAAAAAAAAAAAAAAAAAAATCAAAAATAAAAAAAAAAACAAAAAAACACAAAATAAAAGAAAAAAAAAAATAAAAAAAAAAAAAAAAAAAAAAAAAAAGCCACTGGAGGTCGGATGCACGATCGTCACCCAACGTCTCCCCGAAGCCCAGCGCACCAGCCATACGCCCCAGGTCGTCCGCCACTTCCTCGGGGATGCCATGCTCGCTCGACGCCAGGCCCCCAGCAAGCCTGGCGACCTGGGAGACTGCCTCATCAGCGCCCTCAGTCGAGAGGTAGCCCGTGGCGAGGGTGATGAGGCACTCGCTGATGACATTCTCAGAGACGACCTTCAAGTCTACGTCCAGATCGCCGCCCATGCGTTCTGCAAGGAAGCCCTCCTTCAAGCTCAGGAAGTCGAGCAACTCAGCGACCTGCTTGAATCGGACAAGGTCGAGGGCCTTCTCCCTGAAGAACGCGACGACGTAAGCGATCGGGATGTCGACGCCGTTGGCCTTCATTGTCGCGAGCAACGACTCCAACTTGTTCGAGTCGGGGTGCGTCTTGCTGAAAAGCTGGAAACCGTCCGACGTGCATGTCACCTCGGGGGGGCGCTCCAGTGCAAACAAAAACTTTTCAGAATTTAGCTGCCAGTTCTGCCAAATCGGCGCTGGGGACCTTCTAGAGGCCCGTCAGTAGGCCTTGAGAAACACGCAAAAAGAGGAGGAGGAGGAGGAGGAGGAGGCAGAGGAAGGAGGATGGCGAGGGGCTGGGCGGGGGCAGAGGAAGGAGGAGGAGGGGGAGGGGGCTTTCCTCCTCCTCCTTCTTCTCCTCCTCCTCCTCCCCCTCCTCCTCCTCCTCCTCCTCCTCCTCCTCCTCATCGTCATCATCCACAGGGTGCTGAGGGCAAGTTTGGCATGGCGGTCACCCTCTGCCTCCGCGAAGTGACCTCCTGCTCATCGTGCTGCGGGAGATCCACCCACTTGCGGACCTTATTGTCAAGGTTGACGACCTTGCCCTGCAGCGCCCCTGCGGCCTTCTTTAGCTCCGCGCACTTCGCGGGCAAAGTCTCGTGGTTGGCGCCGATGAGGCATGATGTGAACGGCTCGATCTGCATGCTCTTGGAGATCTCCTCGAAGTCGTTGCGAATCTGCTCCAAACCGAGGGGGTCCAAAATCTCAGTAGCGGACTTGCCGAGCATCTTCGCGCTCATCGCAACGCGCCCCCTCTTGCCGGCAGAATCCGCTGGGGGGCTGGCGGATGGCTGTCGCTGCGGCGACCTCGCACGGGCGCGGGCGCCGGCGGCGGCGGCGGCGGTGGACCTGCCGCGGGCCGGCGCGGCAGCGGCAGCGGCAGGCCCGCTGCCAGTCGAAGTGGCCATGCGGGAAGGGGCCGCGGTCGAGCCTCCTGAAGAGAGCAGCGAGGACCCCGCGAAGGACAAGCCGTCGTCCTCGTCGACATCATCAGCGGGGATGGGTTCCTGGGTGGCGTCGCCGAGCTCCTCTGGGCCCGCGTCCTGCGCCGCCTTCGTAGGGGTGGTGTACTGAGTGTTCTTGAGGCTCTTGCGGGCGTCGGCCATGGTGTCCTTGAACATGCGATCGAACTTGGCTTTGAACTGCCCTTGCCGAACAACGTGGCTGCCGTCGTCCACCGTCTCGTCCATGCGCGCGCCTCTGCGGCGCTTGACGGTGACGCCCCACTCGCCCTCCTTGTTCTTGGGCAGGAGCACGACCTCCTGATAGACGCCATCGAAGACATCCCAGGTAGTCTCCAGCTTCTCCTTCTCAATCCTCCCTGGAAAATCCTCTTTGAATTGTTTCACAGCGATCGCCTTGAATTTCGAGCCGATGTCAAGAGACTCCTCGGTGAACGATTTGACGACACGTTTCCTGTTCTCTCGGTGCCTGTCCTTGATTTTGCCCTTCTCAGCTCTGGAGCATCTTTCGGGTCCCTCCTCCATGTCCTTGATCGCTAGGTTTCTTGATGACGTCCGCTCGGCCTGGACCTGTGCGTGCCCCTTCCTGGTCTCGACAAATTCGTCCACGTTCTTGTGCTCTGCGGACCACCCCCCATCGCCCCAGGTGCGCATGCAGACCCTGCCCACCCGGCCGACAGGATTCTCTGACGACCCTCTGCCCCACGGCAAGAATGGAAATACATCGACGCCATTTGGCCCAAATTGCAACGGTCTCTCGTCGGCGTTGCACTTGAGACGCAGCGGGCAACGCTTGACGCAGACGAAGACAGTCGTACCGATAGTCACTGGGCCGCCAACTGTGCTGAGAGGGCGCCCGCCCGCAGCGCCACTGCTCTTACTGGAGACCGACTCCGCCATGTGCCAGACAGGTAGCGCTGGCAGTTGGGCGCGAAGGTGATCTGCTTTCCGAAACTCTGCAGCAGTTCGTTCGGGCTTCGAACAGCTGCGGAAAGGCCCAACAACATCAAAAGCATGAGGAATGGTGAAGAGGGGAAGGAAGGATGAGGAGGAGGAGGAGGAGCATCAAGGGAAGCACGGGGAGGAGGGGGAGGAGAAGGGGGGCCTGCAGCATCAGCATTCCCACTTTTGTTCCTGGAACGCGTCCTCAAGGCGCGCTCCAGGAACAAGAGTGGGAATGAGGATGAGGGCGAGGAGGGGGGGGGAAGGCTGGTTCAAAAGATTTGGCCCCCACCAACGGTTCGGAAGGAGGAGGAGGAGGAGGAGGAGGAGGGGGAAGAAGAGGAGGAGGAGGAGCGAAAGCAGGAGCAGGATAGGCAGGATGACTGCCGACCCCTAGAGCGGGCACGATGGCAGGCCCTCGGCATGCGACCTCGCTGCCACCCCCAGCGTCCTCGGGACTTGAAGCTAGCTTTGTAGACCAGGGCCGCTGGCCCCTCCCCTGGAAGGCCCCACCATCACGAATCCAAGATCCCCCCCCCTGCCTTCTCCACCTCACGCAAGAGTCCAGGGCTGCCAGCAGTCGCGGGCCATGATGGGGGCGAGAATGACCCAGGCCCGAAGCCCTGGCTGCAGCGGGGTCGCCAAAGGCAACGGGGAGCTGCGGGCCGCCAGCGGGGGGGGGGGGGCCTGGGGGGCGCCAAAATGACGAGATATAGATTTGAGCTGGGTCCACGCAGAAGCCCCCGAGAAATCCAAATGTTTGCGTGCTCGATATGGAAGGAGAAGCGTTACGTCCGAACATCTCAAGATTCTGCTCAAGATATCATTGTTTTTTTGTGAATATGCGTGTGGCATATAAGTACATTCTCCCTGGAACAAAAGCATTTCCGGACGTGCATTTCCGGATGGTACAATTTCCGGATAAGGCAGCAAAGCGGAGCGTTAAGGCTACAAAGTGGAGGGTTAAGCAAGCAAAGAGGAGGGTTAAGCAAGCAAAGTGGAAATACAGATATGTCTCATCCGGAAATGAAGCCCCCGATTGCAATGTCATACGGATTTACATGTGTGTGCATACATAAATGATATATGATACCATGATTCATCCTGCAACGTCCCATTTGGTTGATACGATTGCGTGTGCACCTGTAATTCCCCAAGAAGATGTCAACGCGGATTTGAACCCTGGCCCTCTGGCCTCGAGTGGAAGCGTGCCTCGTCGCCGCAATGCTATCGCTGGGCCTCTGTGGGTGATCTACGCTTGCTCCGCCTCTCTCACTGTCCACCCTGTCCATCGTCCTGACTCGGCGCATCGCTTCATGTGCTCGATGCCCCCCCCCTCCTCCCCCCCTCCCCCTCCCCCTCCTCCTTCTCCTCCTCCTTGCCGCCGCCCCGGCCCGAGAGGATTTCGGGTGCCTTACCAGGTAAGGCGACCTCTCACCCGGGGCTGCTGCCAGACGCGCCCGCCCTTCCCGCGTGCCCCGCCACGGCGCGCAGCAGGAGGGCCAGCCGTGACAGAGGCGAGCCGGCCTGGCATCGTCGTGCCAGGGCCGAACGAGGCAGGGCCAGGACCTTGCTACGTATCGCCTCAGCTAGTGCATTGTTGGGCAGACATCACAGCAGCATGACGAAAGGACGTGCTAGAGGTGACAGCAGAGTACGACAGGATCGCTCAGATCGAGAACACGAGCCTCGCTCCCCGCCATGGAAGACAGTCACCAAGTACAAGCGCCTATGGGAATGCCCAGCATGTGCATATCACAATGCATGGGCCGCGCAGGTGCGTGCCAAATGCCATCCCAGCCAAGTCTCAGATCGGAGAGAGCGACGAGCCAGATCGGCGTCACGCCCACGTGGCCAGCGTAGAACTGCCACCTCGCAGCCCCCACAGCGAGGCGCGGTGAGCACGGCCAACAAGCAGATGGAAGATGACCCAGATGGGAT